GGTGCTTGAGTACATGTAACGCTAATGGTCTCTGGCTCTGGGAATGACTGGAGAATAGCAAATGTAATGCCCATAGTTAAGAAAGGAAATAAAAAATCATTTTGTCCAGCGTTGGGTCTTCAGACTTGAAAGTATGTGTTAATGGAAAAAAATAGAGTTATATAGTTTAATGGACAATAGACGGAATGCAACATGGATTTGTAGACTAATTTTTCACTGTGTGTCTGATTGTCGTCTTTGTCTCTCTCTACACAAGGGAAGGTGATAACATTTTGGAGAGGAGGCTTATTTAGGCTAAGGAGCAGTGTCGGCACAGGGCAAATCAGTCTGAATTGTCCAAGAAGAACAATGGCTGAATCTTCTTAACTGTCAGAATAATGGGGCTGTGTAATTGCCTTTCTGTCTGAATACTGGGCAGCAAAATCCCAAGTCTAAGACAGAGCATGCGTGTCACAGGACACATTTCTGGCAAGCGCAGGACGCTGGAAGTGAAAGCAACAAATTGCTTTCAGGCGGGTGTATTTCGGATGCCGCTGTCTCACCTCTGTTCCACTGACTCAGGTTTGTTGCCCTCCCAGGAGAAGGGCTCCTTCTGCAGAGGTGGGCGTTCAGCCCTCACCCTCTTGTTGTGTTGGCGGTGGATGGAAAAATAGACTGGACTCAGAAAAAGCTCTTCAGGGTTGTGGGAAGAGAGCTGTGTTTCTCTCCCCAGCAAACCCAAGTAAGCAAAGCGAGCGAGAAAAGCTAAGGCTTGTACAGGGATGAAAGGACTGGGTAATGCACAGGAGCACAAACAACAGGAGGCACTCAGGGAAATGGGCAGAAAATGAGTACATTTTTCTCCCTGTAGAGAAATCAGGGAAGGTGGCTCAAGTACCAGAGATGGTCACAAAGGTACAGATAATGTAGCAACTGGAGAACAAACCACGCTCACAGAGGCAGAGCTGCCTTCAGGGCACAAAAGCAACAGGGGAAAAGAAGGAAGCAAGGAGCCTGGGAAGGACACGTGTAGCGGGTGCGTCCTGCTGCTTTTTCCACAGGTTCCCTGCAGCTGCTCCCTTGGACTCGGCAGGGAAGGCGCTGGTGACGGACTCTGGGGCTCAGAAGTTGCAGATAACTAGTAATGATATATGGAGGCTCCCTTGGACTCGGCAGGGAAGGCGCTGGCGACGGACTCTGGGGCTCAGAAGTTGCAGACAACTAGTAATGATGTATGGAGAGTCTGGCAAGAGTGGGCAGCTCTAGCTGGATATGATTAACCTGGGAGCTCCACTGGAACAGCTGAAAGCCATGAATATCAGGGTAAAAGACCTAACCTCATGGGCAGAAGTGATTCATGCTACAACAGATCCAGAAGGAGGAGGATGCTGGAACCTGAAAGGGACCCAGAACTGACAGCCCCTGACAGAACTGGCCTCCATGAGGCAACACTAATAATAATTCACATGCCTGTGCTGGACCTTGTTACCAGTAGGCACGTGGAGAACAAGGTTAAAGTACAACCTGAGCATGTTGTCTGGCCCCGTGAATACGAGAAGCCTTGCAGGATCCACTGTACTGAGATTTTCCAGGCAGAGAGGACAGGCAGTACAGCACACAAAGACTGATGTTGCTAATGCCTACGTTACACTTCCCTCTGTTCTGTGTCCACTGGAGGTTATGGAGTGTTCCAGATGGTCTGTCACAGCCCGCCGCGGTGCTCACCAGGGTACGTGATTTGCTCCGAGGGGACCCTGCAGCTCCAGCGGCTCCGTCCTTCCTACACCCACCTCTGTGCTGCCTGCACGGGAGCTGGCTGTGGCGGGGGAGGCTCCTGTGGCTGCACCCAGGCCCGCGGGGCTGAGCCTGCATTGCCGGAGCCGCCCGGCCGTTTGCCGGGTGCGGCTGGAGATCTTGGCCGTGGTGAGGTACAGAGGGCACACGGGCAAAGTGCTGTGCCTGTGTCTGCACATCAGCTTGTGAGTAAAATAAATTGCTTTAAAATATATATTTGTAAGCCCAGAAGAGAACAGTATAGATATATCATGCTGATAAACAAGTAGGATGTCAGAGCATCCCCAGAGTCCTTATGCAGAAGAGCCCAGAGGCACAGCGTGTCCTTGGAGGGTACTGCCCATCCCCTGAAGATGGCTGGAACTCTGGTGACAGGAGGAATGATCTGCTTTTATTTATTCTTTTTAAATTTTTTATTTTTTCTCCTCTTCCTCCTTCTTAGTTTTGGAATAACCTTAAGAAGTGGATTCTATCCCAGCAGAGGGGAAGGTGGGCTGACCTCAGGGTTCCCTTTTGCTCGTCTTGCCCCCCTCAGTGGCCTGGCAGGGAGCAGCAGCAGCGTGCAGGACAGATGGGTTCTGGGTTTTGATGTGTTTGTCACATTGAGAGCAGGGAAGGGGCTGTTTCCACGAAGTGTCAGTGACTCTCTGAAAGAGGTGAACCAGCAGGTAGGGAAGCAGTATCCTCCATCAGTACTGAGCCAGGTGGCACAAGGACATCCCTCTGGCCTCACCAGATCTTTGCAAACCGCCTACAAGGCCAGCGCCGTGAGCACAACCTGACAGACACACTGCTGTTCATCCATGGCACTGTGCTGGGTCCCAGGCAGGGAGGAGGGAGCTCCAGGGCCGTTCTCCTCTGTGTCCTCCCCACCAGCAGCCTCCTTTCCTCGGGTGGCTCCCCAGCAGCCATCACCTTTGCCAGGGGCCAGCCTTCCAGCATCATTGCCATGGGAAGACAAAGCACCGTTGTTAGCACATGTGAGCTGTTCCGACAGCTCCATCGTGACAGTTTGGGAGAGATGGAGGTCACAGACCTTCACCTGTTTCACTGGTGGGTTGGTGATTTGGGGGCGTATTGGACGCTCTTACGTCCTGGCCCCCGGTTACCTGCAGTGGTGATGTGCTGGGGTGCACGCAGCTGCTGGCCGCTGTGCCCTGGCTTTCTTCCCGTGGGATGCAGGTGGGCAGAGGAGGGTGGTTTACTGCATGCCCAGGGCTCATCCCAGTGTGTGTTCAAGTTGTGGTTGTTGATTGATTTGATGTGCAAAGCATTTTCAGAGAAAAAATACATAAATAATAAAAGAGCAGGCACGGTTTTCTAACAATTAATGTCATTTAATGAATGATATCCTCTAGAAAATAGAAACTACCCAGATGCTGGTTGGTTGGTCTGTTTGGGGCTGGGGAAGGCCCTTGCTTGGACACACAATGCCTTCTCTAGGTTCTTTTGTCAGCATTTGTAGTTGCTGGAAATAAGGAAATGTCCCTATATTGAAAGAGACACTAAGGGGGCAATTTTTTTTTTTAAATGTGGGAAGTATGCAGAATGCCTTCCCACCCTGTCTCGTTGGGCAAGTGGCATGAAGGGCTCAGAGCTCACCAATATGTTTTTCATACCTAGAAGGGATAGGCTCAACCGATGGTACGTACCACAGTTCAGAGCTCTAAATCATGGGAGATGTCTCACTTTGCAGGACATCTTGTGAGCTCTGATGCTGTTGCACTTCTCTCTGGGTGCATTTCTGCATGGGTTGTGTGTCTTCCCTCAAGGTCTGGCTGCTGATTCCAGGGAAGATGCTTTTCAGAATGTCACAGTACACCGTGTACAGCTCTGGGTCTATTTTGGGCTCGGGCAGAGATCGGGAGTTGCAGGCCTGCTCCGTGACTGAGTGCTGTAGCAAGTAGACATCGCTGAAGAGCGCGGTTAGGATCTTGTGCGCAGCCTTGTAGGGGTCATCTTCGGACTGCACCATGGCCTTCAGCTCCGTCAGGGTGTAGCCGTTGTACCGCTTGCTGTCTTCGGCCAGGGGCTGCACGGTCTCGCCAATGTGTCTCACTTTCCACTTCAGGCATTTCAGTTCTTCTTTTACATCCTCTAGTTCTTTCTCCATGGCTTGGAATTCCTTCACGGTTACGAATCTCCTGCCAAGGAGAGAAGCGGCAGAGAGTGTGGGGTTCAGAGGCTCAGAGGGGGGAGATCAGCCCGGCTTGCCTGGGGTCAGACCAGAGCAGGAGGTGTGGGGAGGGAGACCCCGGCCGTGCCGCCGGACACCATCCCCAGCTCTTCCCTGCCAGCCGCACAGTGACCGCAGGGGTTCGCTGCCGGCGCAGGGAGAGGCGTGCTTTCTGCTTTGGGAGGAAATGAGGCGCCTTCAAACGGTGCCCTGCTGGATGGAGGAGCTGGGGCTGACAGCCAGCGAGGGTCTGTAAGCGGGTCTGGAGAGCTAAATGTATGGGAAATGTGGTATTTTGCTTCTTGAAGAACAGGGTTTAGTGAGAGCATGGGGTAGGCGCTGGAAAACAAGCACTGGGAACATCTAAATAATAAAAGATACTTTAATTTTTTATGAGGAGCTCTTAAATGACTCAACTGGGTATAGGATCACTGAACACTTAACTGTGTCTATGGCCTGGATACATACCTTTCATGATCAGGACCTTCCAGATCTGATTCAAACCCCTTTTCTGTGTTCTTTAGTCCGGTTTTAGAACAGCCAGGAGACTGGGAACTATCTTCAGGAGTCGTTGTTGCTGGAGGCCTTGTGCTTTTCCTGGTTGGAGTCAGTGTGTGATCCGATGCTGAAGCTTGTACGTTTTGTGCTGTGTGAGGACAGAGGGTGTAGAGGGAAGCGGCACTGATCCCTGGGCTGACTGGAGAGGAGTCAGAGTATTGCTGTGGCTTGGCTGAGCTGGGTGTTAGACTGAGCCTGGGGCTGGCTGGGCAAGATGCTGGAATAGTCCTTGCTCCCAGTGGGCTGGAACATGACATTGCTAAATTTGTATCTCTTTGTTCAAATGACTGAGGGTTTGGTGGTTCTCCTGGGGCCAATCTAGTGATGGAGACAATGTCCAGCAGGGTTTGATCCTGAACCATGGAGATCTGGCTGGTCGGTTCTGATGAAAGTGAAGAGCTGCTTGATGTGTCGCTGGAAGAGCTTGACGTAGCGAATGGGGGTATTTTCTGAGCATTATGGTCACTCCTGTTCCTCTGCGTGCTAGTGACATTTAGAGCTGGGTGTTGTGAAGCCCTAAAGAAAGACAAACACACACTTTTTCCTCTGGACCAGGCTAAAGGCTTATAAGTCAATTTTAAGCCTATTTTGGGACAATGTTAAGCCTGTTTCCCATAACTGCATTTCCCCATAGGCTGATTTGCTTCTCATGTCTGCATAAAACTCTCTGCTTCTCATGACCAAGAATAACATGTTTGGAAATAAGGCACATAAATCCAGGACCTGTTCCTCCCTGGTGCCAACGAAGCGTTGGTCAGCTCTCATCAGTGTGGTAGTCACTGGCACTTCAGTGTTTTCCTTCCCAAAAGTCACACAGCTCTGCGAGAACCGAGGATTTGGTGCTGGGGAAGGACAGGAAGGGAAGAAAGCTGCTGGCATATTGACTGTGACAAATTCCAGGGAGAATGCAAAGGGATAATATCTGGTTTGCAGGTTGCCATAGCACCTGCCCTTGATCATCGCTGCAAAGAGTGAAGACCTGCCTTTGCCTTGGGACCCACACGCGTGGTTACCCAGTGAATAAGGGGATGAATAAACAGACAAGACAGAAACGGAAGGGCAGCACAGAATGACATCATTGTTCCTGTGGTGACATTTCTTTTATACAGCTCCGTATGTTAAGGACTTCCCCCCTGCTCCAGGCTGTAGACTGTGTACAGGGCTGAGCAGCTATTTTAGGTGGCTGGAAATGCCAACTGCAGGGGATGCCTGACTACCTCTCATAAATATCGTTTCCCATACTTTTCTTCTGGCTGCTTCCAGGCAGGAGAGATCCTTTTTTTTTTTTTTTTTTTTTTTTCCTACGGCTAAATTTCACTTAGTTTGGCAAGACCGATGGCAAGAGAGGAAGATGTAGCCCTGTAGACTGGAATTGTCCTGATGGGCTGCTGGAAATACCTTGACTGTGAAGGGGAACACAGACATACCCACTGTGCAGATCGCAATTCAGGCTTTCTAATGGCCAAAGAACGTGGCGAACTTTTGTAGCAATACCAGTGACCAACTGAGTCTTCTTGTGCACCTGGTATGGTCATATTCCTCTTGTGGTGGAAGACAGCAGCAAATTCTGGTTGGGATGGGCTACACGAGATCTTGTCTTCGATAGGGTTAATTAATGCCTTTGCTAGATCACAGTGTAATTATCAGGTTTAAATAAAATTTAGAGTTTTAATAATTGGAAAAGCAGAGAGTAACAGAGCTACTGCCTGAAAACAGAGCTAAAAAAGAAGCATAAAATGCGTTCTATAAAAGGCAGGGAAGAAAACAAGAGGACACATGTCGGAGGGAGCACCCTTCCCCAGCAGTGACGCGCTTTCATACACCGGCTGAACTGGTGTGGAAGACAAGAATTGCCAACCAGATATAAGGAAGGCTTTGTCACCCTGGGGGTGTTCAAACACTGGGGCAGAGGCCAAAAGAGGTATTGGGACCTCCATCCTTGGAGGTATTCAGCACCCAACTGGATAGGACCTAGGCAGCCTGATCCAGCCTGGTTTGACAGACTCGCTGTGAGCAAGGGACTGGGCTAGAGCCCTGCAGAGACCCTGCCAACCCGCGTTATTCTGTCATTCACTGATTCTGCCCAACTATGAAAAAAACTTATCCCCCCCGCAAGGGACCCAGGGGAGGAGTGGCAAAGGGGGATCTGGCACACGGAACACCAAACCACTGGTTATTTAAATTAGAGACGAATCTCAGGTATCCTTAATCTTCACTAAAAACCCCCAAGGTCAAGAAATTATTTTTGCTGTAGCAAGGTGTAGGAAACTTATTCTGACAAGAGCAAACCCCATTTTAAGGCAAGTAAAATACAAATGCATGTTGTAGCTTTTTTTTGTTAAAGATATATGTATTTGTCCTCAGATATCTCACAGTGTAAAACTATTTCAACATTAAGTGAGCAACAATTCCTGTCTACGTTCTTGGGGGGGGAAATATGACATGCACCGTAGCTGAAAGGCTATTTGGGTGCACGTACAATCTGAAATACTTTATTTCACGTCTTTAGCAGTGGTGGACAGAGTTGGCTTTTTTGTGTTTTTTGGGGCTGCTTTTTTTTCGTAAATCCAGGATTAGCTGTAGGAGATGGACCACATTGAAAGATGCAATTTAAAAGAGTGACAGAAAACATGTTTCATAACTAACCTCACTGAAAATTATATAAGAAAGGTTTCCGATTCACCTGTGCACTGGAGGAAACAAAGAAGTATTGTAAACTATCACTTTATTTTGCTTTCCTTTCTCACCCTTTAGTTTTCGCTGGCTGCAGTGCCAATCGAGGGACTGAATTTACTTTTATTGTCATGCTTATCTCAGAGGCAGAGGAGCTGGTTGCCTAAGAAGCAACCTGAAGGTTGTTAAAGCAAAATCCAGTCTGGATTTTAGCAGAGGTAAATGAGGACAGAACTGAGACCTGTAACTTTGGAGTTTCCTAGTGGGCAAGGGTTTGCCTGAAGCCAGGAATGAAATTCCCATTGCTTTCAGTATAGCGAGGCTGGATCTTAGATCTGTAACCATGGTGCTTTATCAGAGGGGATTTTTTTTTCTACCTGTTTTTGTGTAGTGAATCACTATGGACTGAATAAATTACAGAAAGAATTGCAAGACCTGGAGTTGGAATCAATGCTGACATGAAACAGGAAGGTGATTGCAGCTGTCAGGTCCCTCCACAAGGAGAAACCTTGACTCAACTCTGAGCGACACTTCAAATGCATCCAGCCCTTGTTGTCTGCCTTCCTCCAGCCCCGTGCTGCTCAGCATATAAAGCATGTTCCCCGTTGTCAGCGTGACCTTGTCTGCCGTCTGTGCCTTGCCCTCTCCAGCTGAGCTGGTGCAATAGACTTTTTGTAGCGCTGAATTTGGAGACATTTGAAAGTTGCCTGCAAATCCAGCACCGCTTTCCTTCGGTGGCACTTGAGACCAAGAAAAAACCCTGTGAATATTCTTTATTTTATGAATCATTTCCACCTTGTTTTAAATCTAGAGTTCTTCTGGTGATCTTGTTTGAATAGAAAAAAATGACACTATGCTGTACGGTGCAGCACTGAGGGCTGTTTGCATAGATCGTACTGTAGACAGCCTGGGGTGGGAGGGTGGTGGAAGAGCTGTGGACCCAGGGGAGATGCCTGCAGGGTGGTGATATGGGAATAAAATTTTTATTTTTCAAGGCCTCCTCTTTGTCAGGTGACCCTCCTAAAATGCCCACATTGCCAAAACAGTGACTATATTATTTTTTTTAATGCTGAATTAATTTTGAATAATCTTTCTGTTTTCTGTGAGAGAAGCTGGTATCCTGGACCCTGGATTTATCTGCCCCAAAGAGCAACCAAGGCTTATAGCCACAGACAGCAAGAATATGCTGTTTCCTGCTCAGCTCTTGGCTCTTCTGATCTACCCATCTCCTCTTTGGCTTTGCCACCATACCTGTCCCTCCTCATCTGCTGTGATGTTTCTCCCACCGCCGTCTCACCCCTTGTTCTACACCTATCATCCGTACCCCTCCCGTCTGCCCTGTGGCTCCCAGGTGCGTTGATCTAAGCACCAGGCTCATCATGTTAGTACCTGGTGGGGGGAGAAGGCTGGAGGAGAGCGTGGAAGTGGCATGGACATACAGGTATCTGAAATCAGGTACGATTGCGGTCTGGAGCCTAATAACTGAGCATTTCTTGGTAATAAATAACTGGGCAACAACAACAAAAAAATCCCCATCTGAAACTTCTCCGTTTGTTTTCGTGTAGCGACCACACAAGTGGTGCATTGAGATCTCCCAGCCCTGCAGGTCTGAAAGAAAAAGTTGAGACCTCCAAGGTCAAAACTGACAGCAAACAGACTATTAAGAGTGTTTAGAGCTTTGCAATGGAAATGTGAAATTTAGTATGAAGAAAACATGACTGGCACTATTAGATGTATAGGGGCCAGTGCCATATGTCCGCACAGGAAGGCAGCTCGGTGAGAGCAGAGGATGCCAACTTACAGCTAGAGCTCCCTGATGCTGTTCTTAGCCCAGCTCAGGCAAGTTCAAACCCTGGTAAAGTTTAGTGGTGGACATTAACTGGTTTAATATAGAATTATCAAGACTGAATATTGCATTTTCCCAATCAAGACTCCTCTGGAATCAAGCTTCTGATTAAATTTAGAATTTAAGGCATTTCTCAGGATGGATAGCTTAGTCTTGCCAAGAGAGGAACCTGAGATCCTGCCCTCGTCCTGACCTGGCATAAAGCCCTTTGTGCTGCCTGCCCTCACAGTGCTCCTGGGCTGCTTGCAAATGTTTAATATTTTATGTTCTAAAATCACACGGAGAGCTGGTGTTTGATTTCTACAATTGCTCAGTCTTGTTTTTTTTTATTTAAAGTTTTTGGTGTTTCACTCTCCAGCAACACTCCCCCAAAATGATTGCCTCTCAGCAAGGACCAGATGCCCTGTTTTGTCTTTGTGGAAGGACAGAAGAGGATGATGTTTGAGGATGGGTAAATATTCCTTATCTGCTGTTTGGTTCAAATTAGAACAGCCTCGGAGCATTGCTAAGTGAGGGGAGCTGACAGATCCTCCAGGGAATGAAGTGAGCAGCAGCACATCCTCGTGTCCTGCTGGTACAGGACCACCTCTGTGTGAGGAGTTCAAAAAGAGCTCAAAATGTTCTGCTGGCATTTGCTCTGCTAGTGGAGTGCAGGTGGTGAGCTGGGCAAGCAATAGCAAGGACTTGGTCTGTTTTAGGTGGTGTGAGCTCATCTTTTGTGCAAGCAGCCCCCTGGAAAACCAAAGGGCCAGTGTCACCTTTGTGGCCGCCCTGACTTTAGCAAAGCCCTTCTCATGTCGTTCGCTTGCCATTAGCAATTCTCTGCTGGCCCTGAGCCCATAGCATGGGTAACGTGACAAAGGGTGGGAGTGCGTAAAGCTAGAAACAGCGTTAAGGAGAATCCTCTGATCAGGTACAGGCCAGTTATGGCTTGATGGGGCTCGTTCCAGGAAGGAGACTTTCGTCTGAAGGTTGTGAGGCTTTGTGGCATCCTACGCTGCAGTAACTAATGTCTTTTCCTCCCTATAAGCATGAATAATGAAGATCCTGAAGCTTAAACTGGATTAATAAGTAAACTGTGAACTGAGAGCAGAGCTTCACTCATGTCACTTCATTAATATTGATCTGATTTCATTACAGTAGGTAACTGATGTGGAGCTGAAACTGATGCAGTATTGACACATGGCCACTGTTCTTTAACTGATCCCAAACTTCTCCTTTGCAGGTTGCTCTTACCGCGCTGTCAGCACACCTGTGGAGGTGAGCTGTGACTCCTTTAAACTGAAGTACTGGGGCAGGGTGTAGGACTAATAGAGCCTTGTTCCTATTCCTTGGAACACCTAATGTCAAGAATTGTTATCTGTTCTTTGAAACAAAGACCTTTGGACAGTCTTCATAATGAAATAAGCAGGTTTGAGCACTAGCCAGGAGCTTGGCGGACAGGGAAATTTCTTGGGAAATACAACCCAGATCAATTTTGTACTAATAGACATTTTCAGGCCCATGAAAATGAAGGATGTGGATCTGCCTGTGGAAAGACCCATAACTGACATGACATTTTTGAGGAGCAGGAGTTACCAAGTGAGCTGATGACACACCAAGGTGGAGAGCAGTGCTAGCACTGTCATGTCTGTGGGGGGACCACCTGCAGTGACATGGGACTGGAGAGCTGTTCTGGCAGGTCTGAGGAGGGATCAGGACCCTCACTTACTGGGGTTATGGACACAAGCTTCACATGAGTATGTGGCTGAGATGTTCATCTCAGCAAGACAGAGGCAACAAAGTGCTATAAGGTTTCCAAATTTTAATAGCGCGGAGTCAGCAAGTCACTTTCCTTCTGCTGAATGAAGAATCACTTGCCTTCTTTGCAGGGAAGTAGATGCATGAAACTGCACACATCCTTCCTGGAGAGTAAAGGGAAAGTATAATATTCAGAGCAGAGCTGGAGCCATGCTCCAATATCGCTCCGTACATTGAACCAGATTCCCATAGCTTAAAGTAAGAATTCTTGCAAACGCTGAATAAAAGCATAGCAATTTTCTAAGTGCAAAAAATGGCAATAATTATACTAATATTATTGTCTACCAAAGCTGCTTTCAATCATTTTTATATTCAATAGCATGCATCATCATGAATTGGTGACAAATATAGATGAAAAAAGGTAGTGATAATGGAAGTTATACAGGTGTAAATTAGAGCATATTTTTAAACTACCATGAAGTCACAGCTTCTTGAGATAACATAAAATTATAGGATATGTGCACATCCTAAATTGAATACTGGAGAATATTGTACTGTTCGTATGCTAATTGATTATCGTTTGGGCAACTCTCTCTGAAAGTTGCAAACAGCTATTTCCATAGCTTCCTACTCCAGCCCTTATTCTTTACCCCAAGGAGCCAGCGTGGGGACGGTACAAGCCATTGTGTATCGGACACATTCGAGCCATGGTCACTTACTATTTGGGGAGCAGCTATGGAGGCACTGTAACCTCAGGTCCCCAGCCTCAGCCCTCTCCTCCTCAGTCCTGGAAAAGAGAATACAGAAGTAGCACCTTTAACAGAAACAAAGGCTGCTCCCACATGTACAGAAATGTAAGGGTCAGAATCAATAAGAGTACAACATACCTGGGCTCCTCCATCTATAGCCAGCCAGGCCCACTATGGAGATCGTAATGGTCTCAGGAAGGACTTGGTTCCAGTGGCTTTGCCCCTCTCGGGGGAAAGCTCGCATAAAGAGGCCATGGGGAATAGAAATGAGGGGCTCAGGGTTGCGTCTCTCCCACTCTTTCACTCTTCAGGGTGAATCTAAGCGTCGGGGACTAACAGCAGTGTACAGAACGTGTGTGGTGGAAGTGGGTGTGTTGCTAGTGCTGCACCATTTAAGTGCCAGTCCGTGTAATTTTCCAGAAGGAACAGCTCTGCAGATAAACCTTCCTGTGTTGCAGAATAAAGTACAGAATAAATCCAAGGCAGAAGGTTACACTCATCCCTGTGTGCTAGTGAAAGGTGAACAGTCAGATTGGAAATTCTTAGTGATGTCCACATGAAAAGATACTGACTCTGTGCATGAGAGGTTTGGGGGTCAGTAGCTTAGAACCTGTTCCGATATCTAGATGGCTGAGGAGGAAATCAGAGCAGAAGGTTGATGTGTCTTTGGAAAGCATTGATATGATCTGCACAACATCTTATGTGAATACAATGGAGTTAGAGAAAGAAAGTTGTGAGTAAGATACATTGGAGAGACGTACAAAAAAAGGAAAAAATAGTTTATGCAAATGATGATTTGAAAAGTTCTGATTCTCATAGTGTTGGGAATAGTCCTGATTTATTATCTCTGCAATAGCTCTGGTCCTGCCGTCTGTTTCAAACTGCTGCTAGCACTTCAAAACTACATTTTCTATCCCTGCAGAGGCGTTTTGTCTGCACTGGTATCAATGGCAGTCTGAACACAGTTCACTCTAGAATGTCACCAGTAGCATCTGCCTGGTGTTGGGTTGGTTTGCAGATCAGAGAAAGGGCTCAGTCAGCAAGAAAAATGTTGTGAAATCAGCTGCAATGCCACAATGGGCACTGATGGACAGCTGCGAGTTGGCGAACACTGTGCTATGGATGAGTGAACTCTGGAGGGAGGAATCTTCCAGATTTACTTGCTAAATTTGTATGTTGGTTTAACAGCACCTAATAAGTGCAATTTGCTTCACAGGGAGCAAAAGGCTGGACGTCAGACTGCAGACAGGGCTATGCTGATCTCCAGGGTCCCCTCTCCCACCGGGGCCAGGGTGGGCTCACCTCCTTACCCCCGTCTGCAGCAGCTTCAGTCCCAGTGGGACTCAACACTGCTGGGCTCCCGCAGCCTCCCCAGGCATGGATGCATTTCCAAAAGCTGCTACTCTCTCTCGTCTTGTCAACGGTAAAAGAGGGCAGTGGGTAATTCAAGTTTTCTTGTATCACTTTAATTTTTCATTCCTTGCTCAAGGCAGTGACTAGCTCTCCATGAGGAACTCACCTGGGTTTGATTTCCACCCTTTCAGGCCCCCATCCCTGACCCCAGGCTGCAATCCTCATGTACTCTCACCCCAATCCTTTATATTCCCTTGCCCCAGATCTTCCTCCCTGTAGCTAGAACAGCCCTTGTTCCAGCAGCGGTGACTGTTGCCCCAGGTCTCCACCTGCCCCACTAACACCTTCTGCCTTTCCCCCAGCATACCGCAGCAGCAGAGAGGAAAGTTTTTCTTCTTTACCTGAAAGCAAAGTCCACCAGAGTTCTGGGAGCAGGGAAAGGTGGTGGGGAGTTGCTGAAAGGGGATTTTTTTAATATCTAAAAAAAGGAAGGCCAGAAACTGGGGACAAACTTGGGAAATCCATTCAACGTGGACAGCCTTGCTGCACTGTCCCTTGCCTTGGACGTGGCGATAGTGTCGGTGTGGCCAGTTCCTGCAGCTGACTGTCACATATAGCTTATCAGACTGTATAGGAGAGAACAAAGAATCCCTCTGTCCCTTTGGCTTATCCGGAGGGATCCTCAAAGCAAAGGAAGCAGAAAGGTGTGTGGAGGGTTCCTCCTCTGCTAGCTGGGGTGAACTGTAGGCAATGGACCATGCTCAAGGTCATGTGGGGCGAGAGTATGAAACCGAGCAGAAAAAGAAACTGAGAGGGAAGGGAGAGAGATACCTGTTGTGAACTGACACCTAATAAACTAAAAAATTGAAATAGATGGGCAAAAGTTATAGACAAATATTCAGTTAAAAGGAAAACCAGAGAAAAAGGGAGGACAACCAGTAACAGGACAAAGACTGAAAGCTGACATGTTGCAGATAATTCTATGGATGATTTTATAGAACACTTAATACGCGAATAATACCTCCAAGCCTGTATCATCTACTTGTTCTGCTTAGAGTTACTCTGAGAGCTATCATATCTTTTATATCTGAAGAGCTATAGTATCTTCTGATTTTATGGTGTGAACTACAGAGTCTATTTTGTCTGGACTTTTCAAAGTATCCCAGACCTGGGAATGGAGGCAATTGTTGAAAATAACACCAGGAATTTTTGATTTTTCAGCTGTTTAAATGTTTTCCCAGTGATAGAAACAGCAGATGCTCAGCTGTTGAAAGATAAAGTCTGTGTCTTTGCAGACACAGGTAGTCGGAGAACTTGGCTGTCCCTGTGTCAGCTGGCTGTGTTTGCGGCTCAGTTGTGCTTGTGTGGGGACATCGGGCTAGATAGCCCTTTATCAGGCAAACTGGGGCTAATGCTTTTCTTCCCTGCCTCCCAGAAGATAAACTGCAGAAGCTTTAACTTTCACTAGAAATACATTGCTCTTAGAAAACTGCCTATGGCACAAAGCCTACCCCACACAGAGGCTAGATGTGTGCGTACCCTGGGTGCTGGGTGTGCGCTGAGGAAAAGGAACATGCAAAGAGGGTGGAGGTGTGCCACGTTACTGGAAGGCAGAAAGGCTGGAGGGTTTTATTTATGAGGCATGAAAAGGAACATGGAGGTGTAGGAGTAGGAGGGAATGTGAAGTATCCCTGGGTATATGCACAGGAAAGAAAGAGAATTTATTTTCTGTTTG